GGGGGGCGGGACCCTGAGAGGGGGTGGTCCCAAGGGGGGGAATGTCCCCAAGGTGGGGTGACACCATGATGGGGTGTCCCCAAAGTGGGATGTCTCTAGGGTGGGGGTGTCGCCAAGGTTGGGGTGTCTCCAAGATGGGTTTCTCCCCAGGGTGAGGGTGTCCCCAGGGTGGGGTGTCCCCAGAGGGGGTTTGTCCTCCATGATCTGAGCTGTCCCCAAGACAGGAGAGTGTCCCCAAAGCAGGGTGTTTTGCCAGGTTTTTCTCTGAGATGTGATTCCCCTGTGGAGGGGAGGGTTGTCCCCACGTCGTCCCTTCAACATCCCCCCCGCTGATGTCCCCATCCCATGTTCCCCCTCCAGCTACCTGCAGACCTGGAAGAAGACGCTGCTGGTGGTGTCCCATGACCAGGGTTTCCTCGATGATGTCTGCACTGACATCATCCACCTCGACGCTCAACGTCTTTTCTATTACCGGGGCAACTACAGTGCGTGGATGGCGAACAAATTAGGGGGGGGGCTGGGGCAATTAGGGGGGGTTATTTGTGCCCCCCAAATGTCCTGCTCCGTTGTCCCTTGCAGTGACATTCAAGAAGATGTACCAGCAGAAGCAGAAGGAGCTGCTCAAGCAGTTTGAGAAGCAGGAGAAGAAGCTCCGTGATCTCAAGGCTGGTGGCAAGTCCACCAAGCAGGCGGTAAGCAAGGGGGGGATCCTTCTGGGATCCATTCCCTTGGGATCCATTCCCTTGGGATCCACTCCCTGCCCCACCCCTGGATCACCGTTTGCCCCCGGCATCTCTCAGTTCCATTGTGTCCACCCCCAGATCCTCGTCCCGGGGACCCCCATCCCTCCAGGGATCCCTCCGCTTCACAACAGGGATCCCCGCTGGGGGTGGGATCCGCTGCGGGGATCTAGAGGGATCTGGGGGCCGGATTGGTGCCAGGGGCAGTTAGTGGGGCTGTTATCCCACAGGATTTCCTACAGTTGGATCCTGCCACGTAACCCAGCTCCCTAGAAAAGATCTGGTGATGGGTGCAGGAGGGATTCAGCAGATCCCTGAGTGAATCCCCCTACCTTACCCCCCCCAGGAGAAGCAGACGAAGGAAGCACTGACGCGGAAGCAACAGAAGTGCCGGCGACGGACGGCGGCAGAGGAGGCGGCCGAAGCTCCGGAGCTGCTGAAGCGACCCCGGGAATACACCGTCCGCTTCACCTTCCCCAACCCGCCCCCCCTCAGTCCCCCCATCCTCGGCCTCCATGGTACCCTGGGGGATTTGGGGGCCTGTCGGGGGGGGTTATGGGGGAATTAGGGTGACTTGGGGTGCTGGGGGGGGGGGCGGGGGACGGGGGGGGGGCCGGGGGGGTTTTTGGGGGTGTCGGGGGCCCCCCCCCCGCCCCGCCC